TTTGAAAAATAAACCTCTCAGATAAAAATGAGGAGACCATGAACAATAAAAAGCATATTTATTCAAAAGATATATATATATCATAATCTTTTGCAAAAAGGTTCTTCAAGAAAAGAGAGAGAACACTATACAGGTCTGAATACATGGCTTAAATACATTTTCAACCAAGTAGCAAAGCAATTCAACGCCCCGACTTATCATTGGCTATCTGAAGTTATATAAGCTTTTGGCTATTCCGCAACACATTTCCTGAATCAGAAATCCCCTTGCCACATTTCTTAACAATACAATTAATCTGAACAAGACAGCTTCCTTCCTTCTACTGTTAAAATAGCCAAAGTCAGACTGACCTGACTTGGAATGTACTAATCCCATCCTCCAACTTCTGCTTCTAGAAAATGCACTTTCCAAATACCTCCCATCCTAGGAAATATATTGCAATCATTGTAATTGTAACCCTATTGAAAGAGTAACAGGAAGATTTTTTTACTGTTCTTTTTGCTCACTCACAGCAGGCTGTTACAAATTCTTCTGGCCCAGAAATTTAAATTAAGTTCCATACAGTATTTAACACTAAGTAAACTGAGTTCTTTTCAGAGATTATAGCCTCATAAAAGAAAATTATAATATCAATGCACAGGTAACTGTTATCAAACCCAACTGATTCAGGGGGTAGTTATCACTGGCATAATCCTGCAAATACACTTGTTACTCAGTTCTCAATTGAGAATTGTAGGAACAGCTGATGGGACAAGAAGCATTTCCACACTATGAAGCATTTATTCATTTAATATATTTGTATGGCCACTCATCTTACAACAGCTTTGAGCGGCTCACAACAGAGGTAAAACAAGTACTACCAAACATAACCATAACACAGTAAAACTACAAAACAAAAACCCTATGCCTTAATCCTTGCAGCAAACTCCAATTACCCTCATTCCTATTCTTTCTGTTGCATTATATTCTGTCCCAGAGCATTGGTTAAAAAGCCAAACCTTGATGGCCTTCCAAAGGCTATAAGACGTGTGTGTATGTATACATACATACATAATTTTTATATTTATATATTTATATATATATATATATGCATACATATAATACATACACACATATACACACATAAATATGTATGTATGTATGTATGTATGTATGTATGTATGTATGTATGTATGTATGTATGTATGTATGTAGTCAAACCAAGTGGGGGAAAGTGTTCCACGAGGTACTGTACGGGCAGCCACTTGGCAATTTTAAGCTGTGTGGATTTCAAGACGCAGAATTCCTCAGCCAACACGCAGTTGAAGTCCAGACATTTTAAAGTTGCCAAGGTTGAAAACACCGGGAATCGTTTCCTCTGCGCATCTCGCGCTTCTCTTTTCCTCGCACCTCCTCAACGGAGGAAAGAAACCAGCGGGAGCTTCTCTCCTTCTTCAAGGGCTCCGAAAACCGGCAGTGACGTAAAGGCCGCGCGCCGGCAGTGACGGTTTTTTTGGGGGGGGGTTGCCGGCGGGGTCGATATTTCCTCCGCTTTGAAGAACTCGTGCGAGTAGCTCTGTCCAGGAGTCCGGAGCTTTAGCTATGGTGACAGGCGGTCAAATAGGCCCTGCTGGCGGGAGTTCCGCTGGCGCGGTTACCCCTGAAGGTCTGCGGGGCTGGATCCGAGGAGCTTATCGCTTTGCCACCGACCGCAATGACTTCCGCAGGTGAGAGAGGTATTGAAGAGCTTCGGGTCTCGACCAGAAACCTTACTGGAAAAAAGAGGGAGCGTCCTGCGCTTCTTAGCTAAAGCTTCTCGTGTCTTTATAAACTCGTTTTTCCCCACCTGATTTTAACACGTGCCGCGGCTGGGAACTGCTGAAGGTTAAAAGCCCAACAATCGAAGGTACCAGAGGTTGAAAATATGTATGTGCCTCTCGATGTATCGACGTTCGTTAATCTTGAAGATGTATTTGGGGAACAAGTGAAGAATTAAGACTTTCAGGGATTGCTATTTGCTCAGGAACACAAGTGTTATTCTTTATGTCCTTGGAAAGTTTCCATAAGTATCTAGTCCCTGTGGAACTACCACTAGATCTGACAGGCTTTGAGGCAGTTAACCTCTTGTGTTCTTAAGATATACAGAAGAGCTACATGAAGACATCATGCTTCACCTTCCTATGCATTTTCTTTATAGCAGTATTAAAAAAAATTGGGTTAGAAAAAGTCCCCCCCAAAACATTGGAGAACACACAGATAAATTCCGCAACTGAAAAAATGTTATTTGATAGTGGTGTTACCTAAGAATACACTCTCAGTGTTTCTAGATAGAAAATTCTATTTTGCATTCTGTATAATCAGTATCAGTTGTCATTAGCTCTCACTTGTATTTGTTACAGAAACCTCATAGTTAATCTGGGACTCTTTGCAGTAGGTGTCTGGGTAGCCAGAAACTTAACAGACATTGATTTGATGGCACCACAACCTGTTGCATAATAGGTGAGTATATACCATAGTGTGGGATTTCTTAATATGTTTCTTATTAAGCAAATTATTCATTTATGTCAAGCCCAATTAATTATTAAACTGATTACACTTGTTTTATGAAAGCAACACAGCTTGAGCCAGTGGTAATGATATCAGACTAGAAACCAGGAGACTGTGAATTCTAGTTCTACTTTAGGCATGAAAGCCAGCTGGGTGACTGGACCAGTTCACCTTACCTCACAGGGCAGGTGTAGAAAAATAGAAGGAAGGAATTTTAGATATGTTTGCTGCCTTAAGTTATTTAAAAATAATAAAGGCAGGATTTTAAAAAACCTAAGAACCCTTGCCTTTTTTTTTTTTTAGCAAACCACAATTATGCTTAAATGACAATATCCATCTAGTGACACATATAAGTGCCACAATTATATATTTGGGTCCCAATATCTCATGCAAATATATGTCATGGCATGACATAAAGCATGTTTTGTTATTTTCAGCCCTCTCCTTTCCTAATGTTGTATAAAATGTGCTACATTCATGATCTTTGTATTGGTTACTTTAAATATCAGCCCAGCCCTTTGTTATTGTTTTTCTTAAAATTGAAATTAGGCAAAAATTGTCCACTTATTTTTAATTTTAAAGAAACGATGCCTTTTCTAATATTGTCACGTTAATTTGGGGGCAAATGGGATTTTTTTCCTGTCCTTGAGATGGGAATAAAGTATACTGTCTAAAACTCACAGCTTTCACAGCTTATCTTTTATTAGGCCTCAGGAAAAGACAGGTAAGTTTACCAGCCCTCACTAAAAGTAACATGGTTTTCCAAAAACAGCTGTGTGAAGAGTCTTGCCAATCCTGAACAGATGCTCTGTCCTGCTACAGACAAAACAACTTAGGAAAATTACATAGCCCTAAGATGCAGATGGAAGTTTGGATTTCAAAACAATATTCTGCCTCCCTAAAGGCAGAAATTCTCAATGAAACATGATTGCCTCAGCAACTAAATTAGCTCTTCTTGGAAGTGGGGGGAGAGAGAGCAGGCATTCAGTTTGAGCCTGATAATTATTGGCAGGCAGCTTTCCAAAAGACCTTGCTCCAATCTTTTTATATATATATTTGGTATTGGTAATAAGTAAGAGAGATTCAACTTTTCCCAATCTGGTTTCTGGTGCATCCAATGACAAGAACATTTGAATTCAGTCCTTCCTTTTTGCTACTTGCACCAAACCATTCTTCTTACCCCTACTAAGGCTTTTCTTCCTTCCTATTCTCAATGCCCCATATTTATTATTCAGTGCATGGAATTTCCATTCTAGAATTCAAGGGCTCAAATGCAGCATACTGACAACTGGCTATATCCTTGCAAAAACTGGTAAATAACAAGCGTCAAAATGTAATTCTTTGCAGAGGCAGGAATTGATATTAGGTCCTGCAGAGCCATTTGTGTGCCATATGAATATCGACCTCCTAGTAAATAGATTGGTATTTTTAAGTGAATAATTTTGAAAGCCAAAACTAGGCAGTGCTGATGAAGTCCCTTTAGCAGGAAGCGCCTTCTCTACATGCATGAAAATGTTTGCATAGGTGGTTTTCTTCCCTTTTTCCAAGGAAAACTATTTTCAAGCCAGAGTACCTTGGATCAGCTTCAGCCTGCTCCTCCAGTGAGCTGGCAATAAGATGGAGGCTCTGCTATAAGGGTGGGAAGTAGAATGTCTTGAACTGAGACAAGGAGGCTGTGTACTTGACTCCTAATATAAAAACCCTTTTAGCAAATGTTTCTAATTCTATTTGAACTTGTCTGCAAGAAATACATTAAAGAGAGATATTTGGTATAAAAGAATATTTAGTGGTAGTTGGAAGACTATTAAACTGATTACAGTTGTTCTTGTATCCCTGAAACTACATCCTTGCTAAGAACATACAGTAAGCATGATGTCTTTTTTGATAAGTGGATTTGAAAGTTTAATCTGCAAGATTTTAATTCTGTAGCCTTCCTGAAAATATGAAAATGTACAATCTTTCTTAAAATCTTCATTACTTATCACTAAGTAATTGTAGCCATCACTATGATGAACTATATAATTTTAAAATCTTTTAGGATTTATTTTACATTCTCCCAGAATAAGAATTTGAAAATGAGAGTTGTGTTGTAAGTTATAGATTATGTATATTTGTGAAAAGGCTATATATTGCTTCTTTTATTCAGTTGAGCAGTGCCATCAACCCTCTTAATTTTTTTTACCATTACATTTTTTACAGATTTTACAAATCTGAACTTTCCTCCCCTGTATGAGAAAATAGCAAGAAGAATTGGAGAAAACAGAGACAATATTTTACCTGTACATCATTTTTCACTATGCTTAATTGATTCTTTGGCGCCATTAGGTTTTATACTCAAATAATTATAGATAACCGTGTTCTATTGTTGTTATTTTTTTGTTTTGTTGAAATGTTTTTGATATATGTACATTATTTTGCAGAATTGAACTGTTAAGATTCTGACCTGAAATGTGAAATAAAGACATGCCGGTGCATTGGATTTTTCTTTCTTTTTTAATAGGAAATTTCAGCTTACAAAACAAGGTAAAAAGAGTAGAGATTTACAAAATCATAAAAACATGATTCATATTTCACTTTTAAAGAAGTAACAAGCCCCAGTCCTGTGTTTAAGTAGGACTATTAACTATTGAACGGAAAAAATACATTTTAAAAAGGCCTAGGTGAGGGTTAATTATGGACAAGTTTCAGCCGATATAACAGTTGTGTGGTGCTTTGAGTTGATTGTATGTTATACATGGAAAAAGAATTGTTGCATAGCATTTTGATTCCTTGAATTGCTCTATGTGCCTTTCAAGTTAACTGGAAACTATGAAAGATGTATTTTTTAAGTTGAGATGTTTTGCCTCTTTTGGAAGATTGCCACTGCCTTTGCAAGACATCTTTTAATATGTTAGTTAGCAAAAGCAGAATGATTTTTCATCAGAAATATTTTTCAAAATTTGGATAGAAGATAGCTTAAGCCAAAAGAAACATAAGCCAATAAATCTATCATTAGTCGTCTTAGATAAAATTAGAGGATAAAAGGACAAAGAATGCAATCCTGATAGAGCTATACTTAATGGACAGAAAATGTCATTTTCCATCTTTGTGTCACTAAAGGTTCTTGCGTTAAAAAAACTAATCCACCTAAACATTTTGGATTAGATGAAGTTTAAAAACAGATTGACAGACAGCTGGATATTGACAGATCTGTCCTCTTTTATTCACTTCCATTCTACAAAATCTTGTAGAAGAAGCAGTATCATATAGATAACAAATGTAGAATAAGACCACTTCAATAATTAAGATTCTTTAAGTAGTAAAAAGTGAAGTTGTAAATTACTACTCATAATTCTTCCCAAAGACAAAATTTTAACTTTTGCTACTCTTATAGTTAGAATAATTTAGGAGTAAGACAAAAGTAGAGAATCCTTGCATTTAGGAAACGCCTTTAAAATCAACTTTTCAGTGTGAAATAGGGTTGTTTTGGTGTCAAAATATATCAATTCTCAAAGAAGACTTATTGAATTTTGTATACTGAAAACCCACAATCTAATCCAAGCGTTCAGCATACTTTAGGTAAAAGCAATTTCTATACAATTTCAAAAAGCAAGTAGAAAGAAAGCCTACTCCTTAATTTTAGTCTAATAAGGCTAATATACTAAATCTTACATCTTATGGAAATAAATTCTCTCTGAACTGATTGGAATGGGAAAAGATTAATTTTGTTTACTGATAGAATCCTATCTGCTGCTGGAATAACAACATCAACTGTAAACCCAGACTGCTTCAACTACCACTTCACTTACTAGGAGTTAATTTTTAAGTCTCCCAATTGTTAATGATGTATTCTGCAGAACTGCAGTATATGTATTGGGATTTCCTAAGTGGTGGTAAACATTTTACTAAGATCACTATTCATCTTATATTTTGCTGGATTCCTAAGTAATCAAATTGATTTTCCTTAAATGTGGTATTATAGCAGCACTAGGAACAAGTTTGTGTTCAGTTCCAATCATTTCAATATATGCTGTATTGGATTTGGAAGGAATTTTACAAGACACTATGTATTAGGATATTACATAGCATCCACAATAGTGTAATTTTACTATTAAATGTATTGATGTAATAACATTCTTTTGTCTTACTGATGGGCTGAATATATAGAAGAGGCCATTCTTATTTTACTAAGAAATAGTGGCAATTGAGATGTGAATTTTTAGATTCAACTGATAATGCATGCATATATCCAAACCTTTCTGTTCAAATGAAATATTTTAACACTTGGTAGTGTATTTAACATCTCCATTTACAATCCCATTTAAAGTGAATTTGAAGAGCACAATTCAGCCTGCATCAGCATTGCATGCTCTGCAGTACAAATAATCCGGAAGTCTTGACCGTATTGAGAAGTGTTACAACTCAAAAGAGGCATATTACACCTATGCAATAGTAACCAGGAATAATCTTATTCAAAGTATTGTATTCAAGAATGCATTTTTAATTATTAGACAACTAGATGTCAGGTCTAATTTCATGAAAAAGTATTCAGTATATGATTGATCTGTTAATCTTTTTTATACTGAAACATATATATGCCTGATTCATTCTATTGAAATATTATCTGCATGAAGATATGTTAAGTCATTGTCATCTTTAACAGAAGTAAGAGAAAGAACATCATGGCAAAAGAGAACCATTATCATGCAAGGCACCAGTCAGTAGTTTAAGAGCCTTTTTCAAACTGCTTTGTCAATAAGATGCTCTAGGCATTCTTACCATTTGTGTTTTAATTATGAATTACTTGAAGAGGAATAATTCTATCTAAAAAAAAATCACCGACAAAGATTTAACACAAAATCCAAAATGATCTACTTTTGAGCAAACCATTTGCATCATTAGAAATACAGTATTTAGACATATACAATAAAATACATCAAGTTGCTGGTAGGAAATATTTTTCCATTCACATACAGATAAGAAATGTTTTTAAAAAACCCAAACCTGCTACCTAAGTATTGTAAAGACTCAGATCTGGGAGTGAAGAAACTAAAAACTTGTGTCCCATGCAAAATATAGTTAGGTACAAGGCACCATTTTAAACTTTAAAAAATTGTTCATAAAGTTTTATCAGGAGGGAAAATTAATCCTATACCCAACTTTCACTCAATCCATAAACATAATAGCAATACTGTTGGATGTGGCTGCAATTTGTGCTGGGGATTGTTATTTCAAAATTAATTTGTTCACTTTCTTTCCTTAGATATAACATTCATAAAATATGGAATTTTACAATCAGAGATTGTATATATAAGGAGACATGCTTTTTTCTTAGCATCTCCTTATGAATCCATACAACATTTACTTGTGCATTTTAATTTCTGTGTGTAGAAACTTTCCCTGAAGTAAATGAAAACAGCTCATTCAAAAGCAACAGCAATAAAAAAAGATCTCCATAGTTCAGCTTTATGCAATGAAGAAATATGCTAGGATATTGTCCTAATTAATTTGCTTGATAAAGTTGGTAATATTTTCCATTGTTATCTAATAGGAAAAATAGCCATTATTTTCTTTTCCTTCTTCCTATACATTTATTTTTTATTAGGAGCTGTTTATTTTTCTGCAAATTTTAGAGATACAGGTGTATCAAATTAATAAAATCTGATTTATATCTGATTTGATAGTCCTTTAAAAAAATTATGTCCTGAATTGGTTCACTCAACTTTATTTTTCATCACTAGTTTTAGCAATAGGCACAGAATTAGCTGATTAAGTTTTAAATGTAGCCAGCTTACTTTTGTAGGTAAATTTAAAAGTTGTTTCCCAAAGATGTTTATGCAGAAGTAAGTTACTCAAGGTTATGGGCTTGCTCCCTAGTTAGCATTCTTAGGACCATGTAACTCTTAGCATGACTAAACTACTTATCATGGTTTAACAGGTACGTATATACTTTGAGTCATATTTTTGCTGGTACACTATGTTTTGTGTGAATGAATCATTTACTCTATGATAAATATTTTCAAATCAGGACTGGTTGATCCTGTCAGCCCTGCAATTAATATATATGCAAAGAAAGGAATTGAATGTGGCTAGAAAAAAATAATAAGGGAAGACATGGTATCATTTATTATTCTGTTAGGCTTCGATTATAATGGCAATAGATAGAATTATCAATTATTTCATTTTCTGCCAATCAGGACACTTTAAAACAGTGTACAAAGAATAGCAAGAACACTGCTTGCAGCAGATATAAAAGAAACAGCATAAAATGCTATACACTATCGCTTCCAAATAAAAGCTAATATTACAGAAACCTCACAGTGTTGGGAACAGCAAGCTCAATTCAAAAGTAAGTTACTTCCATCTCTCAAGATAACTTTTAATTGCACATTTTTATATCCCATGGCACTATTACTCACATAAGAGACTACGACTTTTCAAATCTTGGGAAATGTAAAACATTCATGGCTATTAATACATCCACCTCTCTATTATCTTCCCCATATATCTCCTATAAGTGTCAGATATTCCTATTTACTCAAATATGGATGTAATACTCAAACAGTATTAATGGAAGCTGTGCCAGCTTTTGATCAATCTATTTTTACTTTTTCTAGAGGGCGGGAACCTTTGAGGTTTCTACAGTTCTGAATACCTCACAATGATAAATTCTACATCAGCCACTGACCGCAAGGACAAGAAAGAAGATGATGGGTACATAAGAGATCTCAAGAACTCAAATCTCTCATAGAATCCATGAATTAGAGCCACTGAGGACCCTCTCAAAATTGTCTAGCCAGGCAGCATTTTTTTTCTTTATGAGAGTAGAAACAACTGGAATGTTACATGCAAGATATTCTTGGTCATGTTTTGAATTATTGGGGTGTGGTGGAGTTGGGGGAGCAAGATATTTTATGGCACTCAATGAGGAAGACAGTAAGAAAACAAATAATGGGAGAAAAAAATTGGAAAATGCAAATGGCAGTGGCTGAAAGATCTTGATTTATAAAAATGTCCACTTTTCATTTTTGTTTTGAGATTCTTGAATAGAGGAATAATCTGAAATAATGATAATATTGAAGCAAAATAATTGAGGCCTGCACGTCAGCCCCAAATATCTTTCCTGGAGATAATCCTTAAAAAGCTTTTCATGCTGTAAAAATCATTGTGCTGATTTTTACACTAATTCACCTTTCAAAGTCAATTCTACCAAAAAAGGTCTGCTCCTTGATTCAAGTTATATTAAATGTCTCTTAATAATTACAGTAGTTGAATTGTGAATTTATTATCAAGAATGCTTCTGCTAAAAGAAAACTTTCTGGAATGGCAATTATGTTGTTTTATAAGTCACATCTGGCCTCTGAGTATTCCTATCTGTCTGACTGGAGACTAATTTGATACAATCAGAAAGTGAATCATAGGGTCAAGACTAATACTGCATATAATAATTCCATGCACTTCCAATATAGTTCCCTAGCAGGATGAGAAGAAACAAGTCGGTAGGTTTTTTAAAATTATTTTGTGATTCAATTTCACCAGGAATTTGCTGATGGATTTAAAATACCAATTCAGAATTACCACAGGAAAGCACATAAAAACACTGCATGTGCCAGAACCATGTCCATTTTTGTTTTTAAAGACCTCCAGCTTGACACTTCATGTATCTTAAATGAATAACATGGGATTTGTATGCTGTACATCAGTATTTCTTAACTGAAAGGCAGCAAGTTGCTTAGCTGCAATGAGATCTAGTGATAATCATGAAAGGTTAACAGTTAAAAGTAACCATGATAAATTGGATGTTATTCATCCAATTTAAAGTCTACATGACATGGTATACAGTATACTAGATTTTGTACTGTTTCCAGAGCTGTATATGTCTCTGAGATAGCAAGAACAGCAACTGGGGGAAAAGAAAATATAGGTGCACAATTTAGGTGCAATCCCTTTCACCATAAGACTCCAAAATAAACCTCTTTGAGACTTCCCAAAAACACAACAAAGGGAAAACTGAATGGAAAAATGGTCATGAAAAGGAGATTATTAGGGTGAAATGATCTTGTAACTCTGTGTAATGGCTACTATATTCCTGACCATTTTTTCTTGTATATGCAGAAGTTTTATGCATTTAGGGTAAGAATTGATTTTTTAAAAATCTGTGTTTGTTGAACAATGTGTCAGTAATAGTAAAAACCTAAGCGTCACTGTGAACCTGAATGGATTCATAAGACCTATTCATGCAGTACTCATCATAAAACAGTAGATGATGAAAGTCTTGAAAGTAATGTATCCCATATTAACTATTATAAATACACAAGAAAGGTTGCAAATTCAGTTTACATAGCTGTCTTGTTAGCAGCTAAGAATAAGATTAGTTGGGGAAGAAAAACAGTACTTGTAATTTTTAGCACAGGTTCAAATTGAAATATGCAACAATTACTCAGATGTGTATATAATTTCCACTTTTGTTCATTCTAACAGATTGGGGTAATTGTAGGGTACAAACATTTGTTTTGTTACCCGAAAGATATAAACAAGAACCAATGAGCATATTTTCCCAGTTTAGAAAAATCATTTAAGAGTTTTTGTATAGTACAATCCTATCTACATAAATTATGTTGGTTGGAAAGAACAATGTATGATATTGGTGAGTTATTTACACCAAGAGGTGCAACAACAGATCACCACATCAACAGAACAGAGATAGAATTCTACTATTCATTTATTTTCTTAAGTTATGTATAGATTTATGGTCAGTTTAATGGCTTTGTATCCTGGCTGTACACAGAAGTTTTGAATGTACCTACTTTTTCATATCACATAGCAATTCCTCTTTGAAAGAAGATAAATGGTCGTACACATTGGAGGCTGTTACTCTTTGTTTGGAGGAGGAAGGGTTTACAAATGCATCTGCCTTTTAAAAAAAATAGATGTTCTGCTACAATCTTATAGAACACAGTTGCACATGGTAGGAGGACAAATTTTCCAGACAGTGGATCCAAAATTCTTGCAACAGTATTTGTTCCTGCCTAGCTGAATTAATTCCAAAGGCTTTTGAAAAAGAATCAGTTGATTGAGAATAATGTCTCCTTTCAGGGGAGTGTCAGTCTTCTAACATTGTGTTTAGACAGCACCTGAGCTTGAAGTTGTGTTTCTGAGATACTTGCTCTGCCCTGTATAGTTCTTTGTGTATAAAAAAGAATGTATGCTTGGGTTTTGCATACCTCCTCCACGCTACATACATTCAGTTTGGAGTCATTGCAGTGGACCCAAAACCCTAAAAACGAGAGAAAAACATAGAATATTAATGGCAAGATTGTGGTCCAACAAATTCTTTTTAAATAGTCATTGGAGAAAGACATCTAAAGAATAATGCAATCAATTCCATAAGCCCAAGAGGTTTGAAATTCTGATTGTGCCTTAAAAAGATTCTCTTGATCTCAGTTTTTCTGTTTCACTGATATTTCTGAATGATAGTTAAGAGAAAAAAATAACTCTAATTCTTTCTACAGAAGGTTGGAAAAATGTAATACAAAGATTTTATAAAGAAATGCAATAACTGATTGGAGACAAAGCAATTAAATTCTTCATAGCAGATTTCTTAAAAGTTTGTTTTTCAGCTTAAGTAGTGGAAACATCAATTGCTATGATTCTGTCTCACATGCACACACAAGCAAATAAAATGCGAGCCTGAGAAAGAGAGAAAGTAACCTCTTTTTTTAAAAAAACAAGCAATAAAGTTTCTCCTCATTGTGTTTAAGCTACAGAAACCTAATAGATTTTTTTATTCTAATGTTATTAGTGCACAGTGAAAGCTGAGCAATATAAACTCACACAAAACAAGTATGTTTCTTATGGAAGAGATAAATTTATAAGATGAATTAATTTTTTCCCCTGTAATAAGGCTCACGCACCTCCCTCTGTGTTGTAGCAATATGCCGTGTAATGTCCTGAGCCAAACCCTTTCCCGTGATGCATCACCACAGCCGAGAGGTCATAGACAAAGGTCTCTTTGTCAAGAGAGGAGAAAGTATCCCTGCAGCAGTAAGGTTCCATGTTTAATACCTGGTCAAAGAGGACATGGACCCCAATCTTCTCACGGTGATTACGTCCAGACCACCTGCAATTTGAAAACATTTAATCAAAAGGACTTTTAAAATGAAAAAGAATCTGATACAACATCTTTGAAAAAAATTAATATACTAATTATTGTCATTATTGTATATATTTTCAACTAATTTTTTCCAAATTTAATTGACATTCACTTAATATGTTTTTTTAAAACATTGTTATTACCTAACTTCTCTGATATAACATTTGAAAAACTATTCTGCTTTTATTTACCAAATCCTTTTCTGAAATAGATAATTATTAAGATAAAATGTATTTATGCTAGGGCTAAGATTCTTAATGTCCTGGGAAACTACCAATACTGATTATGCTGCCAGATATAACAAATTTGTTGTTGTTTTAACCATTCAGTCATGTCCTACTCTTGGCAACTTTATAGGAAGTGCTCTCCATTCTACTCTGTGAAGCAAAGGCTTCTTTCAATTGTTGCAAGTTGAACTTTGTATCAGATTTGATGTTATCAAGCCAGTTTGTTCTTTGCTTGCTCCACTAACCATTCCTAGCATCATTGCCTTCTCCGATGAATTTGCATGTATGACAGAGCCAAAGTAAATCAGACAGAGTTTTATGATTTTAGCTTCTAGTGATGTGTCTGGTTTTATACGATTAGCATCTCTCTGTTAATTACTCTGGCTATCCATGGTATGGCATACGCAAAAATTTATGCTAGCATCACAGTTCAAAGGCATAAATTCTTCTTTGATCAGCCAATTCTTAGTGTCCAACTCTCACAACCATACATCATTATAGAGAAAATGTTTGCTCTAACTAGCCTGCTTGTTGTAATTATATCAATATCTCTGTTTTTCCAGAACTTATTCATGTTAACCATTGCAGTGCGGCCTACGGTTATCCTGCACTTGATTTCAGGAGTAGAACTGCCACTGTGAACAATTTTGGATCCAAGGAAGATAAATTCTTGAACTAATTCAATTTCCTCCTTGTTGATTTTGAATGTCTCATGTCCATCTGCAGCTGTTGTCATTAACTTTGTTTTCCTGATGTTAAGACTCGATCCCACTTTTTCACTTTCGTCCTTAATTTTCCAGATCACTTTTTCCAGGTCTTCCTTATTTTCAGCCAATAATGTTGTATCATCTGCATACCTCAAATTATTTATGGTTCTTTCCCCAATCTACACTCCAACATCAGGTAGTTCAAGATCTAATTTCCGCATGATCACTTCAGCATACAAATTGAACAAAAAGATGATAAAATGCATCCCTGTCTAAACTTTATGGCAATAACTCAACATGACTCACAACAAATGTAGATATTGAAATATACTTCCTGGAAGGAAGGATGTTTCTTTTTCTGTTAGAAACCTCTGATGTATAGAACAATAGCATAGTGTCTAGTCACTATCGATCAGCTCTACAAAAGAACTCTCATTACTACAAGTTAATACTACAACAAACTTTTTCTACTATGGCTGAATCAAAACACAGAAATGTAAAGAAAGTAAAGAAACTTTTCAGAATCTTCAAAGAAATGGAAGCAACAGAATTATTTTAAAAAATTATATAAATATAAAACTTTCAAAGGCCAGAAGTAACTTTTCCTTTACTGTAAACTGGTCATTAAAAGATACATCATGCTGATGAATGTTTTTTCAAATTTTATTAATTATGTAATTATGCAATTCATTGCAATCTGCTTTGGGAGTCTCCTGTTTGACAAACATCAGCTTCCACAAAAGAAACAGCAGTGCTATTATGAGTTGCTTCCCAAATAATGTTTCACTTGAAACATACAGAGCTGCAATTATATTACAAGCATTTTCAACTGCTATGTATATAGACAGACTCCACTGGCAGCGGTATTCCTAGGCAAATGGCTAAAACATTTTCTATCATTTCTATACTTTAGGTTGACCCTAGTAGATTTTAATGTCAAGTTTTGAAAAGTCTTCCCTTAAATAACAACTTAAAAGAATTCTATAAAACAATAATTTTAATCCTTACACAGTAATTAGAAGAGGAATCAACAATTTTTGCAAATATAGCAAACGTTTAAACTTGAGAACTCTCTTTACAAAAGTGAATATACATGAAGAAAGAATATAACAGGCTTTTTTTCAGAACTGCTCAACTGCAAAGTATACTAATATTTGACTATGTACATCACATTTTTACAGGTAGCTACTTCCTTTATGCTCTGTAACATTTCTTTCAGAAAAATAAAAAAGGAATGTAAAACTTTCTTCCAAATCTCTTTAAAAATAATATGACATATAAGTGTTATATTTAGTACTCCAGAAATAAAATAGTAATAACTATACTGCCATTTCAGATACAAAAATGACTCCACATTTCTACCCTCTTCTATTCACCTGAATCGTTTAAGGTGCAGCCGGAGGACCTGAGGTAGTCTGTAGATCATTAACTGCTTTTTAGCTTCACTTAGAACAAGAGGTTTGGGAGAAGACTTCCGTCGTTTGCCTATGTCACATTTAAGAAAGAACACAAAATGTCATGCGTTAAAGGCTTCCATCTTCCAATATAAAAGTTGTACCCAACAAACTGAGATACTGTCTTGAATTTAGATTCAAGATTACGGCTTGCTGAAAATGGAGACACCATTTTTAGCAAGCCATAATCTTTTTCTTTTTCTTTTTAATTTTTAAAAATTTTTTATTTTAAACTTGGATAGTAGAAATAAAGCAAGCCATAATCTAAATAATAAAGGCGGGAAGGATAAATATTCCTGGAATTTCTGCTTATACCTCTTTTAATTTTTTTAGTTTTGGTGGTTTGGGGAGTTGCTTTTTAAAACTGTAATATGTCTATTTTTATGGCTATGATTTCAGTTTCCCACATAAAAATAGTGGGAATATTACTATATATTTTCATCAAGGAAATTCCAAGGACCACAAAGAAGGTGCTCAAGTGATATGAGGCCTTGAGCATGTTGCTCTCTTTTGAAATATGGGACTGTAGCCCAATTTCTTTAGCTATACATGGACTAGTTATGGATTTCAAAACCAATTCGGTTCTCATTTCATGAAGGAATTAGCAAAAGAGTTATAAAAAGAGAATTCTCCTTCAACCATTACAGATAGTCCTCAACTTATGACCACTTGGTTCAGAGACCATTCATAATTAAAGTGGCACTGAACAAATAGTACTTATGATTAGTCCTCAAAGTTATGACCATTGCAACTTTCCATGGTTGCCATTTGCAATCTTCCTTGCCAGCTTCCCACCAGCAGAGTCAATGTGGAAGTTGGCAGGGAAGATCACAAGTCCCTTCTGCTGCTTTTACTCCTGAGGAGCCTCACTATGAAGTCCCCAGGAATCCCATACTCTGAAGCACCCCCCTACCTGTTCTCTGTAGTACATGCCCACTAGCAGCACCCCTTGCTTTGTAGTGTGACTCCCTGGCAGCATCCCCCACAGCACCCACCCCTTAGTGCCTGCCCATGGCTTCTGATAACACATCTGTGACCCCCACCACTCACCCACACTTCATAGGGCCTGCCTATGGCACTCACCACCACCTCTATGCCACCCACACACATCCTATTATCCTTGCCTGGGACGTCTGCTTCTTCCTACTTAATGAAACATGCTACTGGGGCTATGACAGTAATCAGGATTGCCAGAAATGCCATCACTAAGTGATGTAGTCATGTGACATCACACTTTATAATGATATCACTTACAGATGGACGTTCTGCTTCCAACTGTCATCATAACTCAAGGAATGCCTGTATTGCTTTCTCCCCATATGCTATTCCTTTAATTTTTTTGAAGGTAAAAAATTATAAAACTGGGGTACACAACTTTATCTAGGCCATTGACTAGATATGGGCTTTAGTTGTATGTCAGTGATTGAATTCCAAAAACTGGATGGGTTCCAGACAAAGAACTATGGTGGAAAAGATTAAATTATAATGCAACATAATTATTCCACCGAAGTATTTAATTATTTCTCCTAGCTCTTAAAAAGTATAATTTGATTGCAACATCTGGAAGGTTTCTAGGGACAATTACCAGAGTTGCAGGACAAGGTTGGGCAATGTTTTAATGACCAGGGCCATTGTACATTTTTTAAGGGAGCAAGATTATAATTGTTGATCAGTGAAGCAAAGTGGGTAAGATCATGCATATATTCTTTTTGGACAGTCTGACATTTTTCTGATTTTCTTTCCTTTCTTTATAGGATGGGAATTTAGGATTTTTAATTTGCTTTATTTATGCCTTATAACATACAGCTTTGGTTGCCTCCTAAAAATGGCAATAAACAGTATCTCTGGTTTCTGACAATAGTGATTGGAAAAAAATTCTGGAAATCCCAAAACAAAAGCTTAATGACTCCATGTAATTTTGGGACCTCATCCACCCATTCCTTTTTAAGGGATTATAATATGTGCAATTGTGTTCCAAAACAACTATTTCTATCCATTGAGAGAAGGCAGTCTCTTTCAAGAAATGTTGTTTTCTTGTATCTCCAGCATATCTATTAGACATCTCAGCAATCTGCCAGAATGATAAATTTGTTTTCTTTGCTTTGTTCTGGGAAAGATAGATACAAGACACTGCGATCTGTTGACAGATCTATACGGGAGTAAATCTTTTTACAATCTATTATCAATTTTAATTGCTGATATTATGTAAACATCATTATTAATAACTTTCCTGAACTCTTTCAAAGCAATTTAAAAATAATGAAAGAGAAACTATACCAGCTTTACTTATCTGGCATTATCTAGCTAAATTTCCATCCAGCAGGACATATAACTGCATTGACTGGAAATTCCATGATTTCACATGCAATACATCTGGAAACACCTTCTTGGGAAAAACCTGAGCTTTATAATTATAAAAACATACAGGGACATTTCTCAATAGATTCAAGGAGAACACATAACAAAACAGATTTTTCTTACTGTTACACTGGTCACATGCATAAATTCTCCCTTCCAAAGCTTCTGTTTCTGTGAATTTGGCCAACATTTCAGTCAGCATGCACTCAGTCTGATTAAGAGGCACAATCCCTTTATTGATAGAATGATAACGTTCTGGAAATTCCAGGGAAAGATCCCAAAAGGGTTCCACAGTATTGGATTTATAATTACACGTTATACAAGTGACCTGTCAAGGAAAAAAAGAATATCAGAACATTCCAATAGAGACAAAAATTGTGATTCTTGTGGGCTTATTTTCCAGTCTGAAATGACACAAATCTGTAACCATAGGATATTTTGTTTTAAAATTCTCAGATAAAAAGAATCATCTTCAAAAAAAGCATCGTGTGATTTTACTACCTTCCTACAACTCACTAGTATAATAATCAGTTTTACTCTATTGGATTCTGTGTCTAATACAAAGACTATTCTATTAGCATAAAGTTATATAAAATTAGCATAAAGCTATAGAGCACTGCACACCAAGACAACTAGATACAGGAAGTTTTTCCCCGAACGCCATCACTCTATTAAACAAATAATTCCTTCAACACTGTCAAACTGTTCACATTAGGCTGCGTTATTATTGCTATTGGTCTTCTTATCGTTCCTGTCGTCCATCTCCTCCCACTTGTGACTGCATGACTGTAACTTTGTTGCTTGTATCCTTGCGATTTATATTGATATTGTTTCCTAGTATGATTTGATTGCTTATTGTACCGTATGGCTGTCACTGGGTGTTGTGCCCTGTGATTCTTGACAAGTGTATCTTGTCTTTTTATGTGCACCGAGAGCATATGCACCAAAGACAAATTCCTTGTGTGTCCAATCACACTGACCAATAAAGAATTCTATTCTATTAATCAAATGTTAATTTTAAAATGTTGCTTTAAAAAAATCCAACAATTTAACTATTAAACTGGAATAAAATGCTTAATTCCAGATCCCTGGAATCACCAAAATATTGCACTGCTGAAATGTCAATATATCTCTCTCACAACAGTCAGTGATACAAAACAGGTTAAAGAAAGAAAACATGTTGAATTGAATTGAATTAAATTAATAAATGTTATTCAATTTGCTAGGTTTATCAAATTAGGAGACCAGTTGCCACACTCTATGTAAAAAAATAATGATTTGTCAGTATATGAGCTTCAGCTCTGAGCAAGCCCTCATTATAACCCTCACCCACAGTCCCAGCATTAGGAAAAGTGGTGGTCTACTATAGATAGCATGAATAAAAACATTAAGAAATCAGAGATTGTGAAAGGTAACAGAGTTTGCAAGACTGAAGCTCACTTAGCATAATGCCAAGGATCACAGTGACACAAGAATAAGTTCATATTTATAGAATACGAAAGCGAAACAAACAAAGTATTAAATGCTATTTTAAGAAAATATTATTGTTTTGGCAAAACTTCTTTATGGCTTAAAATGTAAAACCAGTCTCACTCAATCAAATATGCTTTTGAAGAAATGATAAAGTTTATAAAAGACATGTCAGAATATACAAGGGTGAATATTCAAGGAAAGAAGAAACAACAGTCCCACCTACAGTAGTGGTCAAAATTGTGGAAACCTTTTGGGGAAAGTGTATTTTCTAAAACTAGCTAACACCACCACTTTGTTTTGGAGTAGTACCATAAAATTATATATCAATGGAAAGATAATTTAATCAAGAATGTAATGCAATAACTTTTATGAAGGATTTGCTATTTATTTATTTATTTATTTATTTAATTTTGATACTGCCCTTCTCCCGAAGGACTCAGGGCAGTGAACAGTCAGAATAACATACATATAACGTAAAATTGCTGAGCACATTGTAAGCCGCCCTGAGTCTTCGGAGAAGGGCGGCATATAAATCAAATTAAAAAAAAAAAAGAAATAAAAATAATTTAAAATAATTAAACCGATTTTGCTATTAGAATAGCAGTTACAGTATAAAGAAGAAAAGTGAAACGTAGAAAAAACGAGATATACAAAAATTATCACGACACTTAATACTTAGTTGGGTAACCTTTAGCCTGAATTACGGCCTTACAACATCTTCCCATAAAGTGAACCAAGTTTTTTAGTTCTGCAGCTGTTATAATGTGAAACCAAGATTGAATGATTGCTTCTATTAACTGGGTTTTATTGCTGAGTCGCTTCTGACTAACAAGTTTCTTTAGTTGGCTCCATAGATTTTCAATTGGGTTAAGGTCTGGGCTATTCTCAGGCCATTCCAGCAGTGAAATATGATTATTTTGAAACTCCCAAAAAAAAAAAAAATGGTGTTATTAGCCATCAAACCTCAAAAATACACTTTTCCCAAAAGGTTTCTACAATTTTGGCCACTACTGTATACTGGTCATAAAACAACCTTAATAGAAGCAAGAATCTGAAGAGGAAGAATCATGTCAGTCCATAAACACACACAGAATTGTCTGCTAAATTTTAAAAGCTCACTTTTGGCTACAACTAGAGAAAAAGAATCATGCAACAATCATACCGCATTAAAAAAATAACATTCTTTTTCTATGTATGTAAATGAGTATTTCTGGCTGGGCAAAGGATCAGATAACATGCATACCTGACTGAGTAGCTGCCCATGAAAAATGGTGTTCACCACTTTCAGGACCTGCTTGGTGAGCTTCCTTTGTGGAAAAGGGATGAGGATCCTGCGTTTTGTTCCTTCTGATTCCAGCTCTTGCTGCACTTTGTCCAACAATTCACAAAGAAATTCCTGAGCATCTTGCTGATCATAACCTCGAAATGCTGGAATCAAACTCCATACAGAGTGTAGCATGGCAAAAGGAGACACTGAAGCCCATTTCCCAGACCACATAACTCTGAAGAGTGTGTGCAGTTCATGACAGAGAGAGATGTGCTTTGAACTTGGTTCCTTGGGCTGTATTAGTTCTAAACTTTTGCTTATTGAGGACCCACCATTTAAACCAACAGACAGGCTTTGCCTGCCAAATGAACCCAGTTGATCATTTCTGCCTGACTCTGTTGGAGTAGATCCAGTGACTAGCTTTCCAGATATTCTAGATTTTCCAATTACAGTCTTAGCTAAGAGTTCTTCAGTTTCACAAAGATCCAACGTCAGGAAACATTCTCTAAATTTCTGGAGGTGACTTAATACTTGAAGGATAGAGTTCATGTAGCATGTATTTCCTAAATTCTTTAGTCCAGTCACACCAGGAGTCATAAGAGGTTTACGCCGGATGGAATAGAATTGTTTGAATTTGCTACTCTGCACTTGTCTTGAGGTAGGGGAACTAGCTTCCATATCTCTGAACTTCCGAGGAATCAGGTTCTCTCTGTGAATGTGCGATAAAAGCCTGGCACTTTTTCTTGGAGGAGTGTTTGCCAGCTCCTCTAACAATCTCCGTTTCATCTCTTGACGTCGCTGCCTGGCCACTTCCTTTTTCCTCTCCAGTTCTTCCATTTGCTTTTTTTGTTCTAATTTTCGTTGGCCTCTAGAACTTTTATCAAACCATGTTCGCAATGCTTTTGCAAGCAACGATTGCCGTCTATACCAGAGAGCTGTAAGCATCTGAGGTTGTCCCTGAGGGGCTCTTTGATGGTTGCAAACATCCTCTCCCAAAGCCATTGACCGCAATGTCCTACTACTTCTAGCAGAAGGATCATGCTTTTGACTTTTAACTGCAGATAAAGAACTCCTCAGTAATTTCAGGTCACCCTCGGGATTATCATTCAATACATAGTCTTCACAAAGATAGCAAAATACATACAGATCGTTTATTTCCATAGCCAAAGGATGTCTGGTCTCTTCAAAGTGTTTAAGTGCATGGTCCTCAATATATCTTCCACATGCCACATGGGAACATTTTAGGCAAGCCCAAATGGATTCCGTGGTGTTACAGTCCATGCAGTACCATTTCTGGGGGTTCAGAATGGAATGATCCTGGGCAAGTCTTAGCCGCCCAACATGTTTGCATCTATCCATGTCTTACATAAAACTCCGTTGCTTTAACCTTACAAAGGAGGCAGAAAAGAATGTAATTATTGCACACAATCAAAAATATATAAGTTCTATCATTTTCTTCAGAGAATTACATATTTGTAGAGTTTAATAGATTAATAGAACAGGGAAAAGAGATTGAATATATTCCAGGCATGCAAAAAAATTTTTTATTAATTATCTGCTCACTACACGTTTGTTCTTGTGATTAGAGTAAAGCAGCCTGTTGAGAAACTAGTGCACTTCCTTGAACAGTTGGTTGGCCACTGTGAGAACAGACTAGATGAATGAGGAGTCTAATCCAGCTGGACACAAGTTATATTCTTACATTTTGCATATATGTTTGTATGCATGAATGTATGTTTCATTTAGTTAATTCCTGTTGTCACATAAAATCTAATGTTCCAGGAAAGGTATCTAGCATAAGTGTGACTGAAGGGTATGAAAGGTGACAGTGAGTAAAATTTAGAAAGTTATAATAAAATTTATTTTTGCTCTTCAGCAAGTCACTGAAAGTATGAATGTGAAAAGGAAGAGTTTTTTTACATGTGTCTTTTTAAAGAAAACATTATCATATGAATAGGCTTGAATTATAGAATGCTTTGTAATAATGTGGAGATGAATGCATTCTTGCTAAATGCAAGAAAAGTGATATACAATGGAACAAAAGCATAGGAATTAATGGAATACTTAGCAAACTGTTCAACACTGAGCAAGGAGTTAGAAAAAAGATAGATGATACATTACTAGATAATTTTCATCCAGTGTCCAACCTTTCCTTTTTATGGAAATTTTGAGAAAGTAGTAGGTATACAGTTTCAGAAGGCCCTGCAAAAAGTGGATTATCTGGATCTGGATAAGGTATAACAGTGGGACAGTACTGGTCATATTTGAAGTTGACCTTTGAAATGTTTGAGATGAGGTGGTACATCCATCCTTGTCTTCCTAAATTTCTCAGCAGCTTTCCATACTATTGGTGCAGTATCCTTTTGGGCCAGCTTTAGGAGTTGCGAGTGTGAGATACTGTTTTACAATGTTTCCCTCCCTTCTGCAAAGCCAATTCCAGTCAGTGTTGGTGATAGAAATTGAATGCATTTTATGAGAGAAGAACAGCTAAGTCAACAAGTGTTAAATGTGCGCAAGTTTGCAGAAAGATACCCTTAAATATTTAACTTAAGAATTTGATTTTGTAAAAAAAAAAAAAAATGTTCAGAAACTCAAGATTTTATGTTGATCATTAAAAAAGCATTTTCATGTTATGTACGAAAACTGGGATTTTAGTCTAGTGTATATTTTTGCTCTCTTTCAAGATTTAGGAAGTTATCAGTATTATAAGGTGATTTCATGAAACTTACATCTACTATCAAAACTGCTGGGAATTGTTTCACTAAAAACTTTGGCACAGAAATCTAAATAGGTAGCCCAATGATCAAGGGCACTTTAATTCAAGCAGGTGACTACAAACCAAAAATTAATACCAGAAATTAAGCAAATGATGACTGGAGAGAAAACATTCTAAGTAAATAAAGTGATGTTCTATTGGTAAAATTATTTCATTAAAGGATTTTAATTATTGATGTCTTTTTATACAAAATGCTTTTTAAGTACAAATCGTTGAGGAAGTTTTTAACAGACTGTTTACTTCTACTCTTGTTATGATAGAAAGTAAAAGTAAAATGTGCAGATTATTCTAAAATACTCTAGTTACATTGAAGAATGGCATTAAATGATTCAAAACAAAGATAATGTGTATTTTTAGGATGGAAGCAAATATAGACAGCTGTGCCAAAGTAATAAATTATACTAAAACACTAAACAGTATTTAAATATTTATCTACAATTCTGAACACTTATACATAAAATTAAAGCTGTTGAGTAATAACATATGCAAGAAAAATGCATATCAGAAACAGTTGAAGCTTGGAGAATATAGAATTAGTACACTATAAATGCATACTATTTTGAATCTATGTTTATTTATAATAGCCTTTTAAGATGCCTAATTTCTTCCTCAAACTTATTGTTAAACAATAAGTTGGTCTCCATTATACTATTAATGGAAAAACATTTAAAGATCTACTATAAGAACTGAAATTGGCAAGATGGGAATCAATTATTATCAGGCCTGAAGGAATTGTTATAAATATATGGAACAAGTGTCTCTAATTTACAAGACTTAGAAAAGATTAACACAAGTCTATTGATTTTAAAAGGTAGGAGGAAAGGGCTGAATTGCAACCTGAACTTGACATTTTATCAGGATTTTATTTCTGTTTTGCAGTAGGCAGAACCTACAAAATATGGTACACAAATTGTCAGTAACATAATAAAAAACATAGGACATATTAATGAGCAGGATGTAACAATTTATGCATTATATCAATAATAATGGGAATGAAATGTAAGTAACTGCAACAAAAGAAGCTTCACATACAATAATGATTTATTAGTTTCATGAGTACTGCTGAAAGTACTTTCCTCTGTGCTTAGTGATAAGACAGGAGTTCTGTCTTCTTCAGGTTGAAATGTGGCATATGCTTTTTCAAGGAGAAAAAGTATAGGCCAGACAGAAACATAATTTAAGGCAATAAATATTACTTACCGATTCATATTTAAATATTGTCGCAATTCAATAATCAGTGGCCAGAACATCCCCATTTCAGTCAATAGGAGGTCAATTTTCCTTTCAGCAGCTTTGGATATTCATGAGAAAAAGTAATGTAATATAAAAGCCCTGAAGAGAGAAATATTCTCATGAAACAAATACAGTATGCAGCTTTTTCATTAAACTTTTCATGAAATATTTTTAATTAAACGAACACACAACTCTGGAGTTTTAGAATTAATAATTTCTCCAATTCCCTTATTAAGAAAAATGTAATTGAAATAACAAAATACAGATAGTCCTTGGCTTATAACCATTTGTTCAGTGACAGTTCAACATTAAAATGATGCTGTAAAAATGGACTTAGTTATGGCTGATGAAGCATCTTGTGATCATGTGATCAAAATGTGGCACTTGGCACCTCGTCTGCACTTACAACTACAGGGGTGCTTCAACTCCCCTACCCACTAATCTCCTGCCCAAGCTATGCTCTTTTGACTGCCCTGCACCCTGCTTCGCAGTCCCTGAATCGCGTGGCTCTAAGCCTGCTTGCCATACCCTAGGAAGCTTCAGCCTTCCCCAGCAAGCATTCATTCATCCAGCTCCTTCTCTCCCAGTTCCTTGCATTGACCTTTTGTGTTTTCCCGACTTCTTTTCCAACCCAGCTTCTCCAACAAACATTTCCTGCTTCCCTAATTCTATTCCTTCTTTCTGAAGACAGCACTCTTTACTTAAAGCTGAGCTATCTTTATAAAGCTTTCTAAATCAAGAGTTCTAATGAACTATTTTGATATGAGACGATTGAGAAAACAGCCTTTGCTGAAAAATGCTATTCCATATTTAGCTTTGGTAATTTTATGATTTTGGATTATACTGTGCCTGTATAAAGTAATTACAATAAGGATTACTCTTCAATCAGATTAATAACACGGTACATTGAGTCCCATTTACAATGGCAAAATATCGTACTTTTGCACAATAAAAAAACCAAACAAATTAACAATACTAGCTAATGAAAAGATCATTCCTCTGCAAAACAGTTATAGATGTGTCTGATGGGCCTTGCTAAGGAAAAGAATCTTTCACACCAAAAGCATCTTTGATAATATAGTAAATCATCCACACATTGTTTTATGCTCACAACTAACAGAGGCTATCTTTTCCTGGAAGATCCTGTTCTGGAAACAATCTAATTTATCCTCTAACATTAGCCCTATGGGGAATCTCTCTATTTGCATGGGTTTGGCCTCCCACTAAGCAGATTCAATAGGAATTAAATCTGCCCCTACATGGGATCAGTTAACCAGAGTAGGGATTCTGAGAACCTTTCATGAATTTTAGTAAAGAACAAAGAAACATCAGATAATATTAAGACAGTGGGTGCAATTGGAGAAAGAACAAGGAACTCTGAAGATTTTTTCTGAGATAATTAAAAGTATCTTTTTCTTTCATGAATGTAACTATTCCTTTAAAAATTAAATTATGCTAAAGATAACCATAGATATTAACAGACATTAACTACTTCTGTGTATAAAGCAAATTACATAAAGTCTGTATTTAGTCATACAATTATCACCCCCAATGAAATAAAGCCTTACACATCTTGATAATTGTTATATACAACTAGTCCTCGATTTACGACAATTGAGCCCAGAATTTATGTTGCTTAGTGAGACAGTTAAGTGATTTTTGCCCCACTTTATGACCTTTCTTATCACAGTTAAGTTAGTAACATGGTTGTTAAGTGAATCTTGGTTCCCCATTGACTGTTTTTCAGAAGTTCGCAAAAGGTGATCACAGATCATATGACCCTGGAACATTGCAACCGTCATAAATATGAACCAGTTGTCAAACATCTGAATTTTGATCATGTGACCATGGGGAACCTGCAATGGTTGTAAACTGTGAAAAAAAGGCTGTAAGTCACTTCTTTCAGTGCTGTTGTAACTTTAAATGTCAATAAATGAATGGTTGTAAGTCGAGGACTACCTGTGCCTTCTGTCAGTTGTTCTCTTGCAGTATTTCACAACGATAGTTTTCTCAGACGAGTGATCTGTTATTTTTATTTATTGAAGTGCATACCATTAATGTCATTATACATTAATGACAATGTATAAATAATACCAGAGAGACTTACAAAGGAACAATCATAGCATTTTAATGAATTTGGTTAAATATAGAAAATCATTTACATTTCTAAAAGATAAATATACATCAGTAGCATTCTGTAAAGCTAATTTAATACCACAACAACATACATATGGGTAATTTATTAAGATCTTTTCCTACATGACTATATGGATCTGTACTGTTATTTCTCAATGTATTCAAAGGCAATGTTGTAGAAACTACACCCCAGATATGTTTTAACCTTTGAATAAGAGATCATTTAAAATTTATATTGGTTGTAAAAAAATGTAAGTCATTTCTTTGTATTTCTTTTTCTTTCCTTTTTTGTCTGCACTTTTAGCTTTGCTTTTCCTTTTTTATCTTAAATATTAGTTTTTCTTGGTTTTTATTTTTCTATTTTTTAAAAAAAATCTAAGTTTTTTTTAAAAGCTACATACCCTCATTAAGAACGGCAACTAGTAATATACAGGTTATGACCATATCAACATAAGTTGACATATTAAGTTAATTAGTCATCTTGACGAGATGACTATTTTCTAATCTCATATTTACAACAGTTGTGTTAATTATAACACAATTTGCACATACCTGTTTTCCATTATTATGGAATTTTTGTTTATAGGTAGTCTCAATTAATAACCACAATTAAGCCCAAAAATACTGCTACAAAGTGAGGCATTTGTTAAGTGAGTTTTGCCCCATTTTATGACCTGTAGTAGTTAAATTAATAACATGGTTTTTAAGTGAATCTGGGTTCCCCATTGATTTTACTTGCCAGAAGGTCACAAAAGGAGACACTGCAACCGTCATAAATATGAGTCAGTTGCCAAGCATCTGAATTTTGATCAAGTGACTAAGGCATTAAGATGTTGACTTGGTGTATCATATTGCAGGAAGAACAGAGAAATATCTGGGAGCCTATCTATTTTCACCAACAGATAGGGCAAAGTTTTTCTTGTGTAGAAATGTTTGAGGTCTATTGCTTATTTTGGAAAAAATAGCTCTTCTATTTAATTATATAATTATATAGCATATGTGTTTTAATGTGGGTTATAAATTCTATATTGCTTACTTAGGAACAAGGTAACTCAATGTAGTCTACTTTTGCAGACTGATAAATTTTCATAAGCAGTATCTGTATTATTCTGAGCAATAACTGATACCAATAAATATCCAGTGCATCACTGATTTCAATTCACTATGTAATTCTTATTTGTCTAAGCAAAAGAGGGAGAGAGGGAGGGAGAGGAGAGAGAGAGAGAGAGATTTTTAATATACTGTATATATTAACTGAAGGATTTTGCACAGCTGATAAAAATATCTTCTGTTGACATCACAAACAAAAACTTGCCAGGACAATTTTATGAAAAAAGTGACTGTGTCTGACCTTTGATTGGAAAGATCCAGATTCAGGTTACTAATCATAGAGGCTTAGTGGGTTACTAAGTCTACTCACTTTCTCTCAGCCTAATTTATTTAACAAGATTAAGAAAACAACTGGAGAAGAAGTGTTCTGTATTCCATTGTGAGCTCCCAGAGAAACGGTGGACATAAATTTAAATACGGTAGTCCTTAATTTACAACAGTTCATTAGTGACCATTCAAAGTTGCAACAGCACTGAAAAAAGTGACTTATGACTGTTTTTCACACTTATGACTATATCAGCATCCCCATGGTCATATGATGAAAATTCAGACGTATGACAACTGACTCATATTTATGAAGGTTGCAGTGACTGGGGTCATGTGATCCTTTTGTAACTTTCTGACAAGCAAAGTCAATGGGCAAGTCAGATTCACTTAATAATCATGTTACTAATTTAACAACTGCAGTGATTCACTTAATTGTGGCAAGAAAAATCGTAAAATGGGACAAAACTCACTTAACAAATGTCTTAGTAGTAATTTTGGGCTCAATTGTGGTTGTAAGTCGAGGACTATCTATAAACAAAAAATCCATAATAGAAAACAGGGGTAACTGCAAATTGTGTTATGATTAACACAACTGTTGTAAATATGAGATTAGGAAATAGTCATCTAGTCAAACTATTTTGAAAACAATTCTGTTTATTGGAAGAAAATTATTTTTTATCTTGTTTAGAGAACTGTCTACTTACACTCATTTATTTGGACTTTATTTTATGCAATTGGTAGAGGCAGCTCATCATATTTCTGACTATTATTTAAGTAAACCAACGTCTGCATAATGAAACTTTGCCTCATTTTGTTTCTTGTTTCTACTGGTCCAATCTCAATCAGTAATAGAGTGACACTACTATATATAGCCCATCACTTTGTCTTCCAGGGTTGAGATTGGAAGGCCAATGTTTCAATATATTTAATGTTTACTTAAACCTCTTAAATGAATGTTCAACATATAAGAGGAATCTTCTTCAGGTTTTTTTTATAGATATTTTAGAGGAAAAAACAGCCTTCGCTGGTTTCAATATGATAGAGATGTTTTGTCAAAGCTAAAAAACTTTAAAAAGTGGAAAGATACGTCTCAATTGCCAGTATGGGGGGTGGGGAGAGAGAGAGATTTGTACAAGTATGAAAAAAAATATGTATTTTAGAAATTCTTTTGCAAAGCACTTTGTTTACTAGCTAAACATTTAAATTAGAGGGTATTAGTATCTTAAAATTGGACTGTAGCTAACTGGTCTATTTTAATTCATGATGAGTTTCAGAAATGATGTTTTAATACATTGACAAGAATGTCAGAATTTGCTGATAATTTACTTGACATTGAACAATCTGATATAACTGATTGGAAAGCATGAGGGAGGGTAATTTTTGCTTTTAGTATCAGTCAGCAGTTGTTTTACTTTCTTGACTACACAGTGTACAAAGGATTAAAAATACCAATTTCAATATTAAAAAGGCACATTATAGGAGAAATAATTGGCCTGAATTAAATAACTCTAATTTCTGACACTATGTATAACTCTACAAATAACAAGATTGACAGAAAAAAGCCCATAAAAATTAAATGTTCATTT